GGAATTTGGAAAACATAATAAAGTTTACAATATTATTATTATTATTATTATCATTATTATTATTATCATTATTATTATTATATTATATCACAGGATAATTCCTATTTACACAAGTTCCTGGATCTAAACTAGTCGAGCTTTTTCCTAGAGCCTTCACCCCACACTTACAACTTGTTCAATGCTTCTCTAACTCTCAGTCGTTCTTTCGTACACTCTTTCACTCATACGCAGTCACCTGTGCTAAACTATTTACAGTACTTCGATATCTAGTTCTTTTCTTGGTGTTCAAGCTGTTCCTAACAAAGCTGCTTTCTGTAACGCGTGCACTCGTACATTCAACCCAATACTTTCAATATAGTTCTTCAAGTTACAAGTTACAATTCCAAGTGCAACGATTATTATTGTTGTTGTTGTTGTTGTTGTTGTTGTTGTTGTTGTCGTCATTACTATTATTAAGGAACACTGATACCCTGGCTTCCAGAGACTTTCTCCCTCTAGAGCTTCTCGGTCATGAAATACAAGAATGAAGCTTTGGATAAGATGGAGAAGCATTGGAGCAAGAAACCCTGGTGGCTGGTTAATACAGGTGGATGTTAATACAAGAATAGACCTCCTCGGCTCTGACGTGATGTTGTCCCATTTCAGACCACATGTCATTACCTAGAGTATCATATCTTTGTTTAAGGTTTGCGCTCGGTTGCACATGAGAAGACACATGAATATGGATACAACTCAAACAAAGAATATTATTCTCAAGGGAATGACATGTGGTCTGAAATGGGACAACATTACGCTCGAGCGCTGCAGAGCCGTGGAGATCTATTGGAGAAAAGAAGGTCACTTTTATGAGTTGGTTTGATACTACGCAGCAACGCTAGTCTACTCCCGCAACATACGGTATGGATCTAAAAGAAATGATTAACTTACCGCTCCTCCTACTGTAGCATGGATCTCAAGGTACTTGTTAATGATATTAAGAAATTCTTTGTTCTTAAGATCCTAAAGGTTTAAGCACATAAACAAAGCATTAATAAATAATCAGACGTAATATTTCTAGACTTTAATTAGCCTACATTGTCAGTCTTTCCTGTTTAGTTCTGATCGGTTAGAAACGAAAGATGTTTTCTTGCAGGGCCGTAGCCACTATGAGGTTAAGCGTGGCAGTTGCCTTGGTAAAAAGGTCACAAATGACCCTTGCTAAAAACTCTGGAAATCGCATTTCCGAGGTCTCAAATATAAAATTTCCTGGGGTGCCCGAACCCCCCTAGTTCCTCTTTTTTACCGAGTGAAAGTGGAAGGGCTACAAATATTTTTTGAGAGTTCCCTTTGGATTTCAATGCCCTCCCACCCCCTTCCCCCCAAATTAAAAAAGGACCTTCAGAAGCGCTTGAAATCCATTAGAAATCGTAGAGATTCATTGGCTCTGCTCCTCGTAGTTACAGTTTTTATGACCCACAAGCTCAATAAATTAGCTAGAATATCACAGAATTTCAAATTCTGATCGCGGAAAATTCGTTACAAAATGTTTCTATCGTTTACTGTCCTTCGAAAAAAAAATAAATTGCCTTGAAATCCTTGTAGTACTCCTTAACAGATACTCTGTAGTTGTTTGTGGGAAAAGCTTTTAATTCCACTGGGAAAACTGCTGCAACGGTGATTGGTTCGTTATTAATGTCGTGTGAGAACAATGGAACCATCAATTGTTTGCTTTGCGAAAAATTCTCGAAATGAAACAGAAATTGTAAACCAAGAGTTTGTCTTTTTCTGGCTCTTTTTGTGAATTTTGTCAACTCTTATCTTATGAAATTAAAATATTTCCCAGCAACATGATAAGATAAGTCTTTATACCTTCCACATATAAAAGTGTTTGCCATAGACCAGTGCTCTAGGTTTCTTTTTCTTCGGTTGTTTTACATCTGGAGGTTTCTCTCCCACAACAAATCCCAAAAACGAGTTATCTGGACTATGGGCTATAACACACAAGCATAAACAATTCAAAATATAATAAACAGACACAAGTAATAAAATGAAGCTTAAACACTGTATGGACCATCTGAACAATGTTTTTTAAACTTGCAGACTTCGTGGCATTATCTCTGCATAGTAAGCGACCGATTGACTACAAGCGACTCCACCCAATACCAAATATATTTTCCCCCAACTAGCCATCAATATTTCGTGGCATTGTCGTCTCGAAATCGTAATTAGTTTATAATGTTCATCAAGCTTGAAATGCATCATATTCATATAATACACACACAGAGTTTTGGTTAGTACGTTTTTTATCGGGGGGNGGGGAGGGGGTTAAGGGAGGGGCGTCAGAGGGGAGGGTCATCAGTAAACATTTGAACTTTTGTGGAGGTTCAAACCTGTTGATTTTGACAGCTGTCTCCATGTAGACTTAAAAGGAGGGTCATGAATTTCCTACTGATTGTTAATTGTTTGCTCGATTTCTCCGTTTTTTTGTGTTATGATGGACACTATCTTCACATCAAATAAAAAAATTCAATGAACGTGATGTTTGTGTGATTTTATATTCACCGTTCACTTTTATCTAAATTAATTGGACTACCTGTGATTGGATAAATGTATTTCGTTGCGCATGTCAGTGACAAATTAAAACTAGGTACAATGCAACATTGCAGATACTTAAAATGATAAACACGTGTGCGTTATGAAAATAATTAGTAGGCAAATAGTTTAGATAGACTACAATGTTAGAAACTTACGAAACATCGTCATAAACTGTCGCAAATTTAGATTATGACGTCCCCAGAGTCCCATACTGCCACCAGGGATTTTTTCAGTGAATCCTGCATAATTGAATTGGGCTTCAGTGCCAAACGAGTCCAGTATTCGAAATTTACATCTGGTATTGTAAGAAAAAGATAGAAAAACGTTAACTATTATATACGACTCGTTTTTACCTGTAATAGAGTTGTAATTCATGTTTAAAATATGACCAATTTCACAAGTTAGGAGTAACTAAGATCATATTTTCATTTAAACCTCACTTTTTTAAAAATTACAGTTAAGTGGTTTAGTAAACTAGGCCGGTCATTTTGATACGGTTTTCTTCGGCCGGGCTTCCATTTGATTGCTACGATAGCCGTTATCGCCCAAAAATGCTTTTTGACGATCGCACTGAGCAATCATATGGGAACTACACTCTTGCGATTATATATTTTGCATTCTGTATTTTGCGCCTTTGAAAGGGCCATTCAAGGGTGACTCTTTGCTTTGGTGTTTTTTTCGTTCTTTTTTTTTTTTTTTGTTTGTTTGAAAAATATAGCTCACTTTAGACAAAATCTTTCCTTCAAGGGCATTAAAAATCAAAATCGCCTATAACTCTATGGTTTCCAAATAAACACTGTCCGAAAATGCCTCTTTTTCATGTCTGCGATTGCAATAAATATGAAAGCTCTCGTGCATCTCGGAAATCATCTAATTGAAGACCTCCAGCAAAATAACGAGGAAAATTAATCCGCGACCGACTTCGAACAATAATGCTATTCCAAGTAAAAAACAAACAAACACAAACTTAGCGCATGCGCAAGTAAAATATTGGGCTTGATTGAGGGAAACTAGTGACGTTACTTTTTATATTAGAAAAAATATAAATATACTCACTTGAAATATGGCATGAGTGATCCTATCTTGGAAATCAATTGTCGAATTCCATAGTAATCAAGATAAATCAGATCAAAGTCATCAGAAATGTGGATTGGGCAGGAATTTTTGCGCCCATGTTTGACGCTTCCCAGCGCTCTAACAGTCAAAGTAGAAATTTAATTATCCAATAGTTATGTTAATTTACAATTAATCAGATTAATTAACAAACAATTTCCTTTTCTCGTGTGGCCAAATAGTGACACTGAGGAAGGTACGACGGCCAGCATCCTCTGTGCCTGAATCTTCATTCACCTTATTTTGGTTTAATGCAGATGTGAAGGAGTGTGCAAACACTAAAGATTTTTTCTAGTCCCATTCATGAAGCATCAGAGCCAATCCAAGACGCGAACTAACAAATTCATCTAGTTTTCTCGGACTTCTATCGCGCATTATTGCACACTTGACAGGGTTTTCTTTGTTATTTGTAGGGCTTTATCTCACATATTGCCCTGCTCATAACGAATTCAAGGGTTGGGGTTATTTAAGGCGTGTGAAACAGCATTAACTAAATACATGATAGATCTTATTTTGAACATTGTTGCTGTGGGCTCCCTGTGGCTCTGGAGAAAGTACTGAATGTGTGAGAAGAAAAATGTCAAACCGTGCGAAGTGAAGACAACCACATTATAAATATATGCGTTGTAATAAAAAAAGTTACATTACTTACTGCTGTAGTTTATTTATATCAGCACTAACTGTAATATCATGACCAAGTAAATAAAGAGAAGATATCAAGTCACTCCACTGCACAAGCTCTCCTAGTGGGCCTCCTTTGTATGCATTTTCTGCAAAGTGCAAAGTTGACTCGCTGGCTAAAACACCGATGTGAATCAGAATCTAGACAAAACAAATAACGTCCGTAAATAAGTGATTACAATAATTGTTCATGTATATATAGGTTTCATAATATTTTTTCTTACATACATAAACATACTTTTATTTAGTATATATTTACAAGCTCCCTTTATTATTATTATTATTATCATTATTAT